GATCCTGTAATAATATAATAAAAAAATAATTTTGTTAGGAACCAGTTTTTTATAATGTTTTCAAACAAAAAAAATCTTGTAAATAATTCAAGAATAAATCATAATTTTACAGATTGTTTATTGCCTGATATTTTCTTTGAGAAAAATATCATAAAATAAAATTTCATTAATGAATCGTAAAAGATCAACAAAATATTTTTCTTGTAATATATTTAGTGACTAATTTTGATAAGAAATAAATCAACAAACTTTTCTAGTGTAATTTGTTTTTATATTTACATTTTCTTAACATTTTCAACTTTAATGCTAAAAAATAGTGAACTTATATTTGCATATTATTATGCTCTGACGTCTTTTTCCCACTGCTGGCCCTGAGTCCATTGTATTTTCTAGATCACCGACATCGACCAGTAAGAATTTCTCAGTGAAATTTGATTAAAATCAAGAAACATAAGTGGTTTAACACATAATACTTAATGTCCTTGTGGTCGTACTGGTTAGAGCTGCTCCTTGTTCACTCTGAACTGCTTTTGATTGTTGATTAATGAATTATCTCAGTCTAAAAAAATATTTCTAAAAACATCAGACTCGTGTTGTTTGCAGCACTGAAACATGATGTGAGCGCGTCAGAATCGCCGTCGTTAAACTGTTAAATCAAATCGAAAAACCTCGTCTAGCATCAGACATGTGGCGTGTTTGGAGCGTGTTGGAAGCGTGTTGAGTGTGTTTAATGTGTGTGGAAAAAAACGATTTAGAAGGGTGTTTGAGGCGTATTCGAAGGGTCTGTGTTGAAAAACGTGTGGAAGGTGTACTGACAGGCGTTTGGAAGGTCGACACTCAACTCGTTTGAGGAAATGTGTGGGCTTCAAGTTCATGTCTCAAGTTACAGATTACAGGGCGTTGCATGTTTCAGTGCAGGAAAGCTGCCAGTTTCACATGATGCATCGTTTCCAGTTGTATCGTCAGTTCTTAAAATAAAAAACTGTGCAGGTTAGTCTACGGCGACACGCATTCGATGTCGAACAGTAGTACAAACAATCTTAAAAGAACACAGGCGTACTCTGAAAACGCCTCGTTCACAGTTAAACGTAAACATTAAAAGATGCTGGAGAAAGGGCGCAGCGCCACCCTGTGGACAAACCAAACTGAATTTAAATAATTGAACTGTCCACTCTGTCCATCATGTCTCAGTATCAGGACAACTGAAAGTTATTATATTTAAGGTGGGCCCCCCCCCCCCCTCCCTGTTTGGGTAAGAACCTCCAGGTTTAACTGTTGATTGACTCAGTCCAGCAGGGGGCACTGCAGGTTTCAGCTATGTGAAAACGAGGCGGTGTTTGTGTGTGTGTGTGTGGTGTGTGTGTGCTGTGTGTGTGTGGTGATGTGTGTGTGTGTGTTGTGTTTGTTGTAGAGGAGCGCTTGTTTTCTCTCTAGGAGGTGTGTCTGAGGAGCAGCGTGGGGGCGGGGCTCCACTGGCCATGGGGGTGGTGATGAGGTGTGGGGGAGCAGTCGCAGGAGCAGGGGGGGGCGGGCTTACCTAACACCCCGCCAGAGTCCAGGGGGTATTCCAAGATGGAGGCCGGCGCTGCCAGAGCGTACGGGTAGTCGTACGGTGTCGCATAGATCAGACCGGACTCAGGCCCCGCCCCCTGCATCAGAGCTGGCGTCCCATTGGGCAGCACCGTCTGAATCTGACGAATCAGAGGCATAAGGGCGGGGCCTGTGGGGGCAGGTGTACGAAGGGTGGTGGGCGGGGCCAAGACGGGAGCAGGGCCAGAGAGGACACGAGGAGCCTGAGTGGAGGCTGCAAGAGAGANCCCGTATCGTCTCCTCCGCGGCTGCAGCTTAATTTAAGGTTCTTGTGTCGATCATCTGTCAATATGATCGCGATCAAAAACAAGCAGCAGGTTTATTTCACACTGCTACGAATGAAAACGTTCAGCATTCACCTGGTTCACGTGTGTCGTCATGTTGCTGTTTATATCTGGCTCTGCAGTGTTCTGGTTCAGCGCCCACAATAAACAAAGAGAGTAATAATAGTGACAGGTGAAGCCACAGGGGGCGCCACAGACACACTGACACCAACTCATGATCAATGAGAGAGGAACAATGGCTTGGACAGGAAACAGGAAGTCCTGTTATATAACAGTGTGTGTTTATATTCTCCTGCAGCGTTTCAGCTTCCTGACACCATGGGACAACAGGAAGTCTGTCTGTCCTCACACCTTTTCTGAGGAGGCTCTGACCACAGGGGGCGCTGTGGAATAGAGTCTATGCTCTTATAGCACAAGATCACTGAAACATCCTGTAATATACCTGTAAACACATGCAATACACCTATAAAACACCTGTAAACACAGGTAATACACCTGTAATAGTCTGCAGCTTCTAAAAGCAGAGAACAGTAAATATCTGTAACAGCTGCAGGAAAATTACAGTACAACAAAAATGTACAAATACCTGAAAACGTAGTGTCAAATTTACAGCTGACAAAGTGTTGTCGATGATTACCTGTCCAGTTTTAACACCTGTCGTAAGCTCACTAAAGAGCTCATTAACTAATTAGATAATTTACTTATTTCCTCCAGTCAAATTACAAAACAAGCTCTCAACAACTTCTGAACAACTCCAACATGACACTAACTTCGCAAAGTTCCTGTCCAACTTCCTGTCAGATTTGAAGTACACACACACACACACACACACACACACACACACACACACACACACACACACACATACACACACACACACACACACACACATACACACACCACATGATCAGACTCTCTTCCTCTTTTTCTGGCTGAGCGATGGTTTTCCTGCCTCCCATTGGTCGGACAAAATCAAGGAAGTGAAAGCGGGGGAAGTGAGGATCAGCAGAATCACTGCACTTCCTGTCTCACCGTCAGACACACACACACTCACACACACACACACACACACACACACACACACACACACACACACACACTCTGTAGCTTGATTCAGACAGAATTAATATCACAGGAGTGGGTAATAAAATATATCCCGTCCTCTTTCAAATTAAAAGCTGTCACTCTGGACAACTTTATAGCTGCTGACAAACAACGAGCCTCTTGCAGAAACATTTTTATATTCTCCACTCAGACTGATTCAGAGTCAGATTTATCGAGCGCTCTTCACTGGTAACTCTGGTTTCAGCCTGACGAACATCACCTGCAGGTGAACCTTCGTTAGCTTTCTTCAGTCACAGAACAGTAACTGTGAAATGTGAAGGCGGCTGTTCTGATGTGTTTAATTCAGAAAGAGTGAAAAGAGGAAGTGAACACTGCTGCAGGTCAGCAGACAGAAACAGAGCCGATAGAACAGAGTCAGAACAAGAGGATAATATTAGTAACACAGCTGCTAACGACATGTGTTACCACATCAGATCTGTGAGAGAAATAAAGACCGTGAGGTTAGAAAATAAAATAAAAAGATGTTTCACTGTCTGATGTTAAAACAGAGGATGATACTGTCCTGACTTCACAAGGGAGCAGGTAACACTGAAACCAGCCTGAGGTGTAAATATAATCCTGATGGATTTATTATCTCCATTAACATATCAAGACTCAGCATCCTTCAGCCATCACATGATTCATGTGCTTCCTCAAAACCACAGTGATATCAGCTCTGTTTCAACACAGCTGATGCCACACACACACACACACACACACACACACACATCCCGCCGGGACAGGAAAAGTTTTAAAGGATCAGGAACAGAAGGTGGAGGCAGGTGAGTCAACAGGTGAGAACACACAGAGAGGCTTCATTTCTTCTCTATAGTAGAAATATCACCAGTACTATCTAACAACCACACAAACATATAACAGAGGTCAGAGGTCAGAGGTCAGGCAACTCACGGCGGGCACCAGCAGCTTGTTGACCTCCTCCACGGCTCGTTTGAGTTTGATCTCAGCTCTGTTCTGAGCGTCCTCCACTGTGATGAGGACGTGAAGATCCTCGTTCAGGTGCTCCCAGTTCGGCTTCCCTCGATTCTGCTCCTCCTGCACACACAGGTAGAGACAGACAGGTGATGTTTAGATGTGAGCTAAATGCATTCTGGGAGTTGTAGTGTACATTTTTCCTTCATTTGTTTATTAATAATCATCATTTATAAATCACAGTGAACAGGGAGGGTTGACAGACACAGAAATGGCCGATTGGATTTTTCCTTCCTGAACTAGCGGCGCCAGAAATAACTGCTCCCACTCGACAGCTGAAGGTCTGACAGCAGCATTTAGAGGTGACTTCATTTCATCCAATAGAATCACTGAGATCAGTGGATCCACTCGCAGGATGAAGTAAAGTCCTCAAACAGTTTCACCTTTGTGAAGTTTGACATGTGAACTTCCACCACCGATGAATAACGTATAATGTATAAAATACACATCACAACCAGGACTGATCAACACACAACATCTTGTTCCTACAAGTGTACAAAACAAGACAAGAGACAAACCTGACGAACCACAACTCGTATCAACATTCAAAACATTAATTTACAATACTTCAAAGGGTGTTGCTGTCACCTAAGGGTGACCGTTACTAACATGACTGTTACTAACGTGACCGTTACATTAAACAGACCAGCGGAGAGATGATAAAGAAAAACTTGTTGTATCTAACTAACTCACAGTTCACCAGCTCATACAGTTACTACGTCTTCAAGGCTGAAAACAACAACAGACCTGTACACTGACACACTGAGGTCTAATCTGCCCGGTAACCTAAGGAGCTGCAGCTGATTGGACAATCATTTACACACACACACACAGACACACACACACACACACACACACACACTCGCACAGCTGAGCTGTGATAATAAATAAGTCCTGTGTGTGTTTCAGCAGGACGTCAGTCAGAAACAACAACTCTCACATTCTGTTTTTATCTCTTCTCCTCCTCTACTCTCCTGTTTCTTCTCCTCCTCTCCTCTTCCTCCTCCATCTGTTTTCTGTTGACCTCCTGTTGTTCCCTCTGTCTCATGTATCTCTGTTAGCGTAGCAGGTGGCTAACCTTGTTAACAGTTGTGTGTTTTTGCAGCAGTTTGACCTGAAATGTTTGAAATAGTTTCCAATCTTTTTTTTTTCTTTCTTCTTCCTCTTCACTCACTTTATTATCACTTGACTCACTTTATGGCTTCAGTCATTTCTGCTAATTGTTCAGCAGAAGTCCTCAGGTGGTTTTGTTTTATATTTCCTATTTTATGAAGATAATGAACACATCAGTAAATCATGAGAGACTGAGAGGAGTTCACGCTCTGTGGCCTGTAGTCACAGATACTGAAGAGACCTGCCAGACACAAAACCACCACAAAGAGACACGATAAACAGCTGTACAGGTGTCACATCACGCTGTGGCATCACGCTTACATCATCCTCAGCACAGATGGCGGCTCATCAGGCTCATAACAAACACTGATCAACCCGACATCAGCCCTGTTGTTACATGAGTGACAGTCGGCCAATCAGAGGGCTTGTCTAACTGTCAATCGTCATGATGTAATGGAGGGAAAAGTTAGTTGTGTGTTACCTTCTTCTTGTCTCTCATGGAGCCCTTCCCTCTCACCATGATCTTACATCCTGTTTCAGCCTCCAGCTGCTTCGCTGTCAGACCACGAGGACCCAGAATCCTCCCCACAAAGTTAAACTGATGCAGAGAGAGAGGGAGGGAGAGAGGAGTTACCATGACAACCAGCCAATCTATCAGCCAATACACTTCTCCTATACAGACCTATTTCTGTTCTGTTTGGTTGGTTTGTAGTAGTGGGTCAGTGCATCTCATTCCATATTAACCACTTTAATCACTTTATATATATGGTTCTGACGATGTTTGTAAAGAGCTATCAGGATCACATACACCACACAACAAAACACACACCACACACACACACACACACACACACACAACATCATCTCCTCACACAGCAGGAGCTGAAACACTGACTGTGTGTGTGCTTAATAATGAACATTAATTAACTCATTGGCAACACACTGATCCTGAACGCAGCATGCAGCTTCAACACAAACACACACACACACACACACACACACACGTACATCAGGATACTCCTTCACGGGAACGTAGAGTTTCTCCTGCAGTTGGACGGTCGGACCGACGGCGTCCGGCAGCTCGCTGCTCCTCTCTGACCCGTTCAGAGTGTCGTTGTACATGTCCTTCCTCACACGGCTGATCTCTGAAACACACAACGCGTCAACACATGTTAGTGTGCGCAACACACATAGACAACAACGTTAAAGCGGCAGAGTTTAAGGCAGTTGATGTTCATTCCATGGATGTATCACATGATCTGGATCCGCACTAATTATTTCACCTCACTAATTGCGTCCATGTTCCACTGCACATGCTCAGTAGTGTTTCCCCGCTGGTCCCCAGACTTTACGCTAATAAAACTCACTTTTTAACAAAGATGAACCCTCCATGTATTAAAACACAGAGTAATAACTGAGCCTGTTGCAGCTGGAGCTTCTGTAACCGAGGACGTCCCTGAGGATTTATGGGATTTGTAGTTGCAGTACCACAAGTGACCACAGGCCGAGTGGGGGCGCTGCATCACATCTGTCAATACATCACTGGTTCAGAGGCACAGTGAAGCTGCTGCCATCTCCTACAGGAAGTGAGGGTATCCCAAGTAACAGTTGCTATGACGCCCACACCATCCCTGACCTTAAAAGCCCTAAAATTTATTTCTTCCTCCCTGTGCATGCTGGGAAACTTAATGAAGCTGTCTGTGTACTGATTCAGCTCAAAGCAATCAAAGTCCTCACAACACCGCCTCACACAGCCAATCATGGGTCAGGAAAGCTCTGTGAGACCCAATCAGGAGCCAGGACCATTCAGGCTGAGCCAATCAGAAACTAGTAGACTGCTGTTTGTTTCCTGTTTCAAACCAAGTCAACGTTGTTTCTTTCATCTTCAACCTTAACCACGAGTTATTGTAGGCTATTGTTTTGTTACCGTAACCATGACGTCGAAGGTCTGGTAAAAAACTATATGGTCACTAAGGTTGAAGGACTTGTTGAATGTCTGGTGAGTCTGCCAATATAAAAAGATTCAAACTCTTAAAAATGTAATTTCCAGTGTGCGTGTGNTCTCCTGTTAGGTTTACTTCCTCTCTTTTGTCCCTCGCTACTTGTTGTTTTTCCTCTGGTGGCCAGCAGTAGCTCTTTGTCACTCAATAGGAGGAAACTGTACAATAACCTTGACCTGACCTGTGTGTGTGTGTGTGTGTGTGTGTGTATGCGTGTTTGTGTGTGTGTGTGTTTGTGTGTGTGTGTCTGTGTGTGTGTGTGTGTGTGTGTGTGATGTGTGTGTGTGATTAAACTGTCAGGGTGATTTATGGTCTCTGTTATTAAAACCTTTTTCTCTTTTCTTTTCTTCTGATGTTTTTACTGATTTGTCAGCTTTTCAAAAAAGTCCAATCAGTTTCCTGCTCTGTCCTGCTCTGACCACACACACACACACACACACACACACACACACACACACACACACACACACACACACACACACACACACACACATAGTCCAGAAATTTTCAGGATTCAGAAACAACTGTTAGCTTGACCTCCTCACATGTGTAACATTAAATAAATAATTTTACTTCCTGTTTATTTGTTCAGGGATAAAACAGAATAAAAGCTGAGACAGAGCAACATTTCACAGCTTTTACAGTCTGAGGCCGTTTACGGCGTCTGACCTTTAAAATACACAAAACTCAACAATAAAACACAAACAGCAGCACGAGACTCAAACCATCAATACTATAAAACAACAAAGGCTGCGTGGTCTGGATATTATATTATTATTATTATCATTATTATTATTATTGATACGACTACGACAAACAGATCTTCACTGTCAATACAGGTCTTATCATTGTTATTGATCAGACTCACATGATGAGTTTTGTTTCATTCTTCATCCTTTTGGAAACAGAGCTCCATGACAACAACAACAGCACCATGACAACGTGACATGTTTGACATTACCAAACTGACCAGTGAAGTATTGATCATCACCACAGTCTGACCTCTTCCCTTCATATTTACTGTGATTCACAAACTTTAAAACCAAATCCTGTTGATTCATTAACTCTCAGTTTCACTTCCTGTATGACGTCATCAGCAAACAGCAGGAAGAGCTCAGCTACAACAAGGTGATTAAAGAGAAAAACCTCGTTAAATATTAAACAGCGTTTGAAAGAATTAATGAGACGTCTGGTGTCAGCAGGAAACAGGAAGTGAACAACGGTCTCCTTCCTCTGCGGGCTCACCTGACTTCCTGCTCCCAACACTAGGGGGCGCTGTCACAGCAACGAGAACACGTGATGTTTCTGAACGTTACTGCGGAGAACACACACACACACACACACACACACACACACACACACACACACACACACACACACACACACACACACACACACCATGCTGCTGTGATAATAATAAGATGCTCCACATAAAACTGCCAGACAGCTTCTTCTGTTGGAGCCAGCCTGATGTATGTGTGTGTGTGTGTGTGTGGGTGTGTGTGTGTGTGTGTGTGTGTTGCCTCAGGACAAGCTGACACAAAGAAAGAGAGAGGAGGAGGAGGATGAAGAAAGGGGACAAAGAAACATAAAAACAGAAGCAGAAATCTCACAGATGTTTGTACCGACTGTAATAACTAACATAACATTAACATTCAGCCTGGGACCAACACGTCATGTGACTTCACACACGATCTCACGCTGTTTATTCAATATTTATGTTGTTTTAGCGACCTTTGAAAAACACCATTTCCCATGAGGCCACAGACCATCATGAGTCCGTAATGTTAGGTGCGTTCGACTTCCTGCGGCGCTGAATGAAAGTTTCCCTGCAGATCGTCAACGTGTCACATGACGTTAGAACCTGGCGGGAGCGCGGCGCCTGCGGTGTCTCCGGGCTGAACCACCACTGTGACGACAGAGCTTTGTCCTGATTGGCTGAAGGCCACACATGAAGTGTTTATACATTTTTACTCAAAGAATTTCAGATCTATTTTCTTTTTATGGTTCTCTCCCGAAGGAGAAACAGCTGATTTGATCTCCTCCTTCTGGCAGCTCATTTTGTGCATATGGACACCAACACTGTGGTTTTCATGTCCAGCGGAAAACTGTTTAGTTTAGGAGTTTAAAAGTGTTAAAGAAGTAATGTTCTTATAGATCATATTTTTATCCTTTAGTTTTCGTTTCTTTTCACCTCCTGACAACATGGTGGCCCCTGGTTTTTATTCTCATGTCTGTGATTTTCAACTAGAATCACCTCCTCGTGGTCGTATCCCTCCGCCACTCAGATTAGTTTCAGGGCACATCCCTGTTTATCCAGAGTCAGAGAAAATATGAACCATTAGTGTGAAATTGTGTCATAATTGCTGCATGAAATCTTGAGTTATGGCTAAAAAGTGTTTTGTGAGGTCACGTTGACCTTTGACCTCTAATCATTTCATCCTTGAGTCCTCATGAATGTTCTTGCCAAATTAGAAGAAGTCCTGTCGAGGCGTTACTGAGATATTGTGTCCACGAGAATGAGACGTGGGGACGGACAACCTGAAAACAACATGGCCTCCGGCTCTGACTGTTGCCTCCACAGCTGTGTCCGTCTCTGTTGACCACCGCTCTCAACATCCCGCCCCCTCTTCATGACCCCCTGCCCTCCTGTAATCCTCTCTGCAGCTCAGACCACCGTAACGGCAACAAGAACAATCAGCAAAGTTATGTTTGTAGAAGAAGAAGAAGAAGAAGAAGAAGAAGTTTAGATTCAGATAAAAATCAACTGATTCTGGAAGCAAACATCGTCATCGTCACTCTGTAAAGACGATGAAGATGGAAAGAGGAGGACTTCTGCGACTAGATAACGTTCTGAACACACCTCAACATCCACAGTGGACGGTGAAATCCGACCTGAACATCATCAACATCTGAGGACAGACGTCCGAGGAGCAGAACAGCAGGAGTCTCACTGAGCGAGAAGCTTTATAAAAAGGAAGAAAAAACTCCTACAAACCAGAAGTGAAAGAGTCTGAGCTGCTACAGAAACCGGTTTACTGAGTCCTGATCACACAGGGAGCAAAATGTCTGACTCTCCACGTCCACAGAGAGACGTCATCAACGAGATAAAAAACTATTTAGTACAGACGAAGAAGACGTTCAAAACTTAACTGAATATCAGCGAAGAACTAGAAGTTTCAGGTTACATCCCTTTTTATCCGGAATCATATAAAGTAATAACAATTTGTGTAAAATTTTGTCTTAATTGCTGAGTGAAGTCTTGAGTTATGGCTAAAAAGTGTTTTGTGAATTCACACTGACCTTTGACCTTTGACCTTTGAACACAAAATCTAATCAGTTTGTTCTTGTGTCCAAGGGAAAGTTGGTGCAAAATTTGAAGAAGTTCCATCAAGGCATTACTGAGATATCGTGTCCACGAGAATGAGACGGACGAACAACCTGAAAACAAAATGGCCTCCGCCTCTGAGGTTAAAGACTCCGCCCACACCCTCCAGGTAGCGTCACCTGTCCTTATCTCCACCCTGAACGACCATCAACCAACTCTGATACGACCCACAGGAGCGTCTCCTGAAGCGACGTCCCATCAGGCCGCAGGTGTACCGGACCTCTGTTGTCATGGTTACAATAATAAACACGCGGACTGTACCGAGAGTGGCGTAACTACCTTCATCGCCATGGTTACTAAAATAATGCACATGGCTTGGTTTTGCTTTGCTCCTGTCATCATTACTACGACCACTAGATGTCGCCTAGCAACAAAACCTAACTATGATGTCATAATAAAATGCTGCACAGACGACCTGTGGGAACGAGTCTCTGATATAATCATAAACTTGGCCCCTACAATTCCAAATCTTTCCATATTTCATACTTTTATTTTCTATTTTTTATTTTATTTTTATTTTATATCTTTTATTTTCTATTTTCTATATTTTTTTTATTAATGTTCTTTGTAACGTGTCGTATGAAAGACGTCAAAATAGAAACGTGTGGGTCTCACAGTGAAGCTGTTCTTTATACAAATGTTGGGGTTTTTGACTTACACACACACACACACACACACACTCTGTCTCCGGTTTTACTGTCTGTCTGCAGAACTGAGACCATTACAGCAGGGACGCCAGCCAAAGGGAATTCTGGGTAAATTGATTTTCCCTACACACACACACACACACATACACACACACACACACACACACACACACACACACACACACACTTGATTTTAGCCTCTGAATTAATTAATTAGACCAATTAAATGATGAATAGCTGCACTTAGTGTAATTGAGAGAGAGGGAGGTCAGCGAGGAGGAGGAGGAGGAGAAGGAGGAGGAGGGAAACAGATGAAGACGTACAGAAGAAGAAAGTGAATACAGCGTGGTGCGTTCAGGAGATGCTGGGAAAGTTCAGTGCAGACATGAAACATAAATCTGCTTCTGTCAACTAACCATCAAATCAGACAGAGACGTTTGTATTTTACTGATGTGGGATCTCTGTGTGTGTGTGTGTCGACCAGTTGACTGTCTGAAGGTCATTCACCCCCCCGTACCCCCCCCCCCCTTCCTCCCACTCTGTATGAATCATGAACACAACACTGAGCTGTTGTGTGTGCAGACGTGTCCTCACTCATGTTGTTAATCAGTTCAACATGAAGTAATAAAAGCTGTGGTTAGAGGAGGCGACGTGTCGATGACAATGATGTTCAGTAAACGATCACATCACGAAAATCCAATACAAAATCTATCAATATATATTTTTGGGCTCCAGACTGAACAGAACAGAAGAAGAGACCACATCATGCCGGTGTTCTCCTCCTGACACCGACTCCCAGTTCTTCTTAGAAAACTGAGTTCAAGATCCGACTTTGAAAGCTCCTTTCTCCGTGTTTTATATCTGACCTCTGACCACTGGTGAAGCAGCTCGTAGCCTCAGATCCTCGGACAGCGTCTGTTAGTTGTTCCTGAGGCCGAACTAAAACCGATAGGTGACAGAGGTTTCACAGTCAGAGCCTGAAACTCTGAGGGAATCAGCTCAGAGTCACCGACCTCTTTTAAATCTCTTCTTAAAAATTTTATCATCGAGCTTTTCTCTGATTTCACTGAATTTTACTGACAACTTTAACTTTTTGGTTTTTGGTTTTATTGCCCTCTTGCTGGTGACTCTGCCTCAAACATAAATTCTTATTACTTATTTGCACATGTACAGAATGCCTTTTTTGCATTTGTATATGTTTTTGTATATAGTATTTCTAATTTATCTTATTTATTCTATAGCTTCTGTTCCTTTTCTTATTTTATTCTTTATTACATTTGTCCCCTTGTGCTGCTGTGTCAGTTTGAATTTCCTCTACGGCGGATCAATAAAGGTTCATCTTATTTTTATTTTTATCTTATCTCTGGTTTATTTGCACTAATAATACGACACTTTAACAGTATTTCTGATTGTTGCCTTATATGAGCTGCATGTTTTAATTTGCTGCCTTCTGTAAAACACTTTGCACTGTGGGTTTATTTATTTTATTTTATTTCCCCCTGGGGATCAATAAAGTATTCTGATTGATTGATTCTGATTCTGAGTCAGAGTCAGATTCAGACATACATGTAGTGGTAGAAATACTTGAGTGAAGTACAAGTACTTCAGATTTTTACTTCGGTGCAGTTGTGGAGTAAATGTTCATGTTTTCTTTTTTCATCCATTGAAGGTTTTTCTCTTCAGATTCGGTCTGAAACCAGTGAAGCCATCTCCCTGCAGAAACAACAAACTGTTCCAGATGTGCTCAGTGTGTGTGTGGGCTGTGACTCTGTGATCAGCTCCAGATGTTTCTGCTCAGTGGCTTCACCTGTTCCCCAATCAGCAGGTGAAACAAACACGTCGGCTGAAATATTCTCACTGGGAATTTAAACTTTTAGCTGTTTCGTTTTTTTTTAATCTTGTTGTGATTTTATTTTCTTCATAAACAGAAATGTGTTTTTAAGATTAAACTTTTTACAGATTAAACAGCTCGATGTTTATTGAAGTCGTTAAAATCAGCTTCTTAGTTTGTTTGATACAAACTAATTCTGTTTTTTTATAATTAGGATTTTTAAAAAAGCTGCTAATCATATGAAAACAGAAAAAAAATTACTTTCTCTGAACATGTTTCCTTTGTTTTTGTTTTTTTGTTTTAAAGTACCACTATCACTATCAAAAAAAAAGATCCTGATTATTTTATTTTCATGTTGCAGATTCTGTATTTTACTTTTTAACATTGTCGTCTGAGGCTGATTTTAGAAACTGGAACCAGAGTTTTAGGGTCATGAAAAGTGACTGAATTGATGAATGAATTATCAGAATAGTTGCCAATGAACTTTTTTATTAATTGATTGATCACTTCAGTTTTTACTGTCGCAGTGAAAAGTGAGAGGAGAAGTTTAAAGCTACATAAAATGGAAATAATTAAAGTTTTAAACAAGAAGGTCTATATTAAAATTCACTGTTTAACACTGACAGAGCCTATATGCAAATATCATATATATATATTTATATATTTATATCTATTTATATATAGATATAGATATACATAATATGTTTATGTATGTATGTTTATATTGTATATATATCAATCCCAAAGCCTGTCAGTATATGTTGATATTATAGGGTCCAAAAGTCTTAGCTAGACTGTTCAAAATTCATTAGAAAAATGTAGAAAAAAGCAAATAAAATGTTTATATGTATGTTGTTTTAATAAACTTACAATATATCTAATGTATATGCTCACAATATGTTATACCATATAAAAATCATCATGTAAATATTTTAATATATGTACATATACAGGTTTTACTATGAGTATTTCATATATCCAGAGGATGTATATATATATATATATGTATGGGACATATAGCCTACAAATGTCATATATTGTATGGGAGGTCATCCAGCTGCTTATTAAATACTTTAGCTTCATTAAAACTATAAATGACTTTAATCAGGAGTTTAATGTGTGTTTTTACAGATCGGGATCAGACTTCTGGTTTCTCTAAAAACTGAATCTGAAAATGATTTTTTTATTTTTTCTAATGAAACTCAGACAGAGAAACTGATGGGTGTAGAGACAGACAGGTGTAAAGACAGACAGACAGGTGGACAGGGGGTCCGGGTCTCACCCTCGTCCAGCAGTCTCTCCAGGTGCTGGAAGATGCCGCAGAAGTTCGGCAGACTGCTCATCAGCTTCTTGTCGTTCATGAGCTGCATCAGATAATCCGGACTGGGCCTGGGCTTCTCCTTCCCCTCCATCTCCCCCACCATGGTCCGACAAAGACCCCCGCACACGCCCCAACAACACAAAACACCGAACAAGACCCAAAAGTGGATCCGGATCACAGCGGACCTCCTGTGTGTGCGGAGAGCATGAAGATAAATCCAGACCCGCGGACCCAGACCCGGTCCCGGAGCGGTTTTTCTCTTGTCTCCTCTTGTTCTGCTTTTAATCCCACAAGTTATGAAGATGAAACTCTCCTCCGGCCGGTGGACTGATCCGGATCACAGGAGAACCGGGTCTTCTCCCTCCACACGCTCCAGCGGCTCCGGTTCTGTCCCCCCGGCTCTCTCTCCGGAGCTCCCCGGTGCTCAGCGGCTGTCTGTCGGCGAGCAGCGGCTTCGTCCCTTCGCTCCGTCCCGTCCTCCACGCACACTCTCACACACGCACAGACACACACACCGAGACAGGGACCTGCAGGGGGACAAAGTTCAGCAGCAGGAAACTCAGCCTCCAGAATAAAAGCATGCGCCTTCAGAGTAAAAGCATGAGCCTTCAGAGTAAAAGCATACTTTTATTTGCTGAAAGAATCACATTAATGATCTGAATGTTTCATGTTTCAGGGAATAAGAGATCAACGAGTTGATCTGATCTTTTCTGAACACAATGAAATATTAAAGTGAGGAGGCCGTGATTCCCCCAGATCTGGGCCGACGATTGCCCACCACTGTTTCGCATCACTAAACTAAAGATCAGGAAGTTTTCAGAACAAAAGGCTGTGAAAACACACAATGATCCTCAGTGTGAGCTGCTCTCACATCGACACTGGACACATTCATCTCTCCATTCAGAGCAACAAACAAAGAGGCAGTTTACTCAGGTCCGAACACAGATCCTCTGTTGTTCTCTGATAGATAAAATAATCATGTTTTACTTAAACACCATAAGAAAACACTGTTGATTTACTGCAGCTGTCAGCTCAGTGGTTTTAAACAATATGAAGAAAAAAATCATCTCAGATTTATCAGCTTCCTTCTCCAGGAGCCTCTTTTTATTTCTTCCATTTAAGTTTTATTTTTTTTCTGTTCTGTCACAGAACTTTTACCATTACAACAAAAATAAAATAAAGACAAATAAAGTTTATTTTGTTGTGTCTCTTTTTACAGACAACAAGAGAAACCAGATAAAAAACATAAAAAATTAACTAAAGCTCATATTAAATTATTATGATTCTAATAATAAACCAAACAGCAGAAACGTTACATTTACAGATAAAGTAAAGACTCAACAAACTGAGGAAATTTTCTCCATTCTAGTCAAATAATCTTTTTAATAACATAAAAACAAGGATCATATGGAAATAAAAAGAAGTCATAGAATCATCTGTGTTTCGTTAAACGGCAGAGAAAAACTTTAAAGTGTTAATTTCTGAAGGATTTCTTCACCACTGCGAGCACCGGAAGTTAATCAATAATCAATGGACTCATTGCTGTCTTATTTATAATTATTTTTATCTGTTGATTTCAGTTAAAACTCAATTTTATTTAAAACAGGACTTTACAAATAACACAGACAGAAAAAAACAGGACAGAGTGAGGAGATAAATAAAATAATAAATGAATAATAGTAATAATAATGATAATAATAATTAAAGAATCACGTTGTCACAAAAGACATAGACACATCACATCCTATTAAACAGAATAAAAATGTTCTTGTTTTTCATTTGTTTTCTCTCCCAACATTTCTTCCGTGTTTTACCAAGCTTTTATTTTGAAGTCGACATCACCGGGCTTCCTGTCCTGCCCTGTGCCACTTGATGAACCTCAGACAAACTGCTCTAGCCTACCACTTACAGACAAGTAGTGAATACAATCAGCTGAAAGCATTAGTCAATTAATCAATAAAGTGATTGATAGAAAATCAGTTTTTCATTTTCATGAATTGAATTGAATTATTTTAATACTTTTAATTGATTTTAGAAACTCTCTGTGGATCTTTTTGAGTTGTTTTATCTTAAAAACAAAAATTTAAGTTGAATAAAAAACACATAATAAACTTAAATAGTCAGTTTTTAAAAATGTAAAAGTTCAGTGTTAAGACTCAGTCGAAGGACAAACATGAAACTAGATGAGGAGCCATTTTGTTCAGGATCAAACTTTTAATCATAATTTAACTTCAGGAGCAAAAACTGAAGCTAAAACACTCACAAACAGGAGAGAGAGGGTGGAACCAAAATGGCGGCTCTCCTCCTCAACGTAGAACCAGTGACTGAAATTTAACAAATTAAAAGTGTCTAGATAAACCTGTCACAGCCCTCCGTCCTTTATACTCCAGGTGAACTAATCGGCTGCTCTGATTGGCTGCAGATAAACACACCTGCACCACCTGAAGTTAAATAATGATGGGTTAAAGCACCAACCTGAAGACTGACCTTCATCATGGTTCAACCAAAACTTTATTGAACTAAAAGACAAGTTTCCTTAAAGGAGACACGTTTAATTTCCAGCTCTGTGTCTTTTGCTTGATTCACATTAAAAACATAAAACTTTACTTTTTTATAGATGGAGACAGAAAGAGAGAGAGAGAGAGAGCGAGAGAGTCAGTCAGTGTCTCTCGTTCGTTCCCAGGCGTCAGTGTGAATAAACTTCTTAGTTTGAATCTGTTGCTTTAAATACTTTAATTTGCCTAATAGTTTTTCTTCTTTTTCATATGGAAAAGAGTCTCCCCCCTTCCTCCCCCCTCCCTGATGCCTGGGAGCCAGAGAGGAGAAGAAAAGGCATGAAAGGAGAGGAAAGGGAAAGGAAAGAGAGAAGGGGGAGGATGGGGGAGGAGAGGGGGGAGAAGAGGAAGAATAAAACAACAACACTTCTTCTTCTTGTGTCTGTGATGTCAGTTTGGCCGAAGACTCGTCTCTCGGAGCAGAAACACATCAGACTCAAAGAATGTTTCAGGCAGAGAAGAGGCCACTTCCCCCTGTGCTCCGTCTGTCAGGCAGCACACAGACCACCTCCTGCTCTCTGATTGGTGGAGGTTTGTACCTGAGGCCAAGACTCAGGGCACAGCATGTCCCTGCTCTCACTCAGTGAATTAAACCTCTGTGGGTCTGGAGCAGATGTTTCGGACTGACATGAAGTTTATTTTTTACTGTTTGGACCAAACAGGAAATCACAGTGAGCACGTGATGAAGACACCTGCAGTCACCTGACAGGGTCATGTGACCTGACTGATCCTGACGGCGTCATGTGACCTGACTGATCCTGAAGTGGAGCTGAAGACGGGACTGAGGGACTCGTTACCACCGAGGTTTTTTTTACAGTGTTCAGTCAGAAACAATGAGTCTGTTCTCTGTGACAACAACAGAACAAAACGTCTGCTGTCCAACACACACACACACACACACACACACACACACGCACACACACACACACACGCACACACAGACACACAGGATTTTACACTGACTTACATTCATTTCCTAGAGACTACCTAAACCATAACTACTACAGAGTACTACATGGTACTACAGAGTACTACATGGTACTACAGAGTACTACAGAGTACTACAGTGTACTGCAGAGTACTACAGAGTACTACAGAGTACTGGACAGTCCTGTGTGGGTCTGTTTGTGAAATTTCAGAAATTTCTGGAACGACTGAAATCTGTGGATCTCTCCACCCACTCTGCGCTCTGATTGGTGAGAACAAACCACATCACTGTTCAGTCATGTGACCTACAGACGACCTTTAGGCTGCGAAAGGTCACATTAACATGTCCTCAGACCAGCCGCAGACAGTCAGAGGTCAGAGGTCACAGGCTGTACTGAGAACAGAGAAACTCTTCATCTGTCGGTCCGTTTTTCTTTCTTTATAGTGTTTGTGTGTAAGGTCAGGGTCAAAGGTCAAAGGTCACAGTAATCATTCTGCTACTCCTCTAACAACTTCACTGAAATAACAATTTGTTCTGCAGATTGTTTAAACTGTAAAACCAGGTGTTCTCCTGAATGTTCATTATTGTGCTCTATTCTCAGGGTCTGTGTAACACCTACAACATCTGTAACACCTGTAACATCAGTAACACCTGTAAGATCAGTACGCCTGTAACATCTGTAACACCTGTAACATCCGTAACGCCTGTAACATCCGTAACGCCTGTAACATCAGTACGTCTGTAACATCTTTAACACCTGTAACATCAGTACGCCTGTAACATCTGTAACACCTGTAACATCAGTAACACCTGTAACATCAGTACGTCTGTAACATCTGTAACACCTGTAACATCAGTACGCCTGTAACATCTGTAACACCTGTAACATCCGTAACACCTAAATGCCTGTAACATTTCTACACTTGTAACATCTGTAACATCTGTACACCTGTCACATTTGTAACACCAGTAACATCAGTACGCCTGTAACATCTTTAACGTCTGTAACATCTGTAACATCTGTGCAGACACAGCAGATGACAATGATCTTGAGCAGCGTCCTGATGGACAAAAAGGTCGAAGACATTAAACTAATTCAAATCTAAACCGTCGAAAAATACCAAAAACAAACAGCTGCTGAATGAACAATGTGAGTGTGTGTGTTTGTGTGGGTGTGTGTGTGTGTGTGTGTGTGTTTGTGTGTGTGTGTGTGTTCAGATCAGCTGACTGTGTGTCGGATCTTTGTTTTCAGACAAAAGAACAAACGGAGACGTTTCTTCAGAAGAACAAACGTTGTGTGTGTCACAGATGAACTGTGTGAGTCAGCGTTGTTACAGGACAAACTGACTCTCACACACACACACACACACACACACACACACACACACACACACACACACACACACACACACACACACAATCAGTTTAAATCCATCAGATTTTCTAATGAGAATCCAGAAAGAATAAAATATATCAACATTCGAGATGAACAATGTGATAAATATGTTTTACACTTTGTACCTGCACTGAACACACCTGTCCTCACCTGGACGCTCTCAGTCCTCTGCTGCTTGTTGATTGGCTGCAGGTGCAGGTTTACCTGAACAGACCTAGAGTAATTTTAAACTGTAGTACTGGTACTTCTACTCAGAGTACTCCCTCCTCTGCGCCTCTGTGTGATGGATGGGGGAGGTCCTGGGAAAAGGTCCCTGCTGGTCTCAGTTCAGGTTCTGAGTAGATCTGGTCTGATCCAGACTCCACAAATCAACCTGAGGCACCAACAACAACAGAAGAAGAAGAAGCAGCTTTTCTTCTGCCGGAGGTTTAATTAAAGGGGCAGTTCACACTGAATTAAAGCGCTGTCATGTAAACAGCTGAGGCCAGAAACACTGATCTCAGATCAGCCTGAAGAACTGAGGATTTATAGACGATGGGACAACAGCTGACACTGAATCAGTTTGATCTTTCCTTCATCCTTCTCTTCCTCCCCTTTTACTCCAACCTCCACCCTCACTGACCTGTTAGCTTCCCGAGCTAACGATGCTACGACACCTCGTCACCGACGGCTACGCCCACATCAGACTCATAGACTTCAGTTCGGCCTTCAACATTATAAACCTGCTCAGTCTCTTCATGGGCGTGACCTCTGACCCCTGCACATGCTAATGGATTCAGAGCTTCCTTTTTCTTTCCTCCTGTTTCCTTCTCTACCTCCTTTTTTCTTTCCTCCTGTTTCCTTCTCTATCTCCTTTTTCTACCCTCCCGTCTCCTTCGCTCCCTCCTCCTCCCACAGCTTCACACCTCCTCCAACAATGACATCACTCTCTTCATTCCTCTTAATAAATGAGGTGCATTCGTTTCTCTCTCTCTCTCTCTGTCTGTGTGAGTGTGAGTGTGTGTGTGTGTGTGTGTGTGTGTGTGTGTGTGTGTGTGTGTGTGTGTGTGTGTGTGTGTGTGTTGGAATGTAGAGTGTGTAACCGTCCATTCAGAAGCTCCATTTGAATATGAATCAGCTGTCGCCAGGCGGAAAACACCCGGCACAAAAGACCTTCCTCACTTTGACATTCTGCTTCACCTCCTCTCTCTCTCTTTCTCTCTCTCTCTGCCTCCTCCCTCTCTCTACCTCCCCCCTCCTCTCCCCCTCCCAGCCTGGACTTCCTGATACAAGGCGTCCTCCTTAATGAAGACAATCTGCTATTCTTTCCTGTTGAAAGACGCTCTGAGGACTCGCTGAGACTGCCAAGGACAGAGACAAAGACACCAGGCGGTGGGTGATGAGGGGGGAGGAGGAGGGGGCAGGGGGGAGGAGGAGGGAGGGGTCTGACCTCTTCTTTCATACAACATGGAGGTCTGGACTGAACCCAAACATCCCAGAGCAGATCCAGAACTCCTCAAAGACCCGACTCAACTGTGGGAGAAAGTTGGGAAAAAAAGAGGAGGAGGAGAAGGAGAGAAGGGGGAGGAAAGTAAATGAGGAGGTAGGGAAAAACAGGAGCAGGAGAAGAGGAGGTGAGGAGGGAAAGTAGGAGATAGGAAAGAAAATGAGTCAAGAGGGAATGAAAGGAGGAAAGGAGAAAGGAAACAAGGAGCTAGGGAATCAGAATCATATTAATGACACACAGCATTGTGGGTAATTCAACAGAATCAGTGACATCACATCAGACATTAGAGGGAAGTGTTCAGAAAAAAAGGAGGTAGAGAAGGAAACAGGAGGAAAGAAAAAAGGAGGTAGAGAAGGAAACATGTCTTAATAGTTTATTCATTTCCACTGATGTAATTTAGAGAAAATTACGACACAAACCAACAAATATAAACATGACAACATCAACACAAACATCACAACGTGTCCCCCTTTCCTTTTGACCCTTTGTCCCCTTGTCCCCTTATTCTACTGTCCCCTTCTACTCTTGTCCCCTTGTCCTCCTGTCTTCCCATCCTTCTTTCCTTCTGTCCCCTTGTCCTCTTTTCCTTTTGTCCACTTGTCCTCTCGTCCTTTTGTCCCCCTGTCCTGTCCATCCTCTGCTCCAGCTGCCTCCATGTTAGAGACAGTAGAACACAGTAGATCTATCCAGCATCTGGTTGTACATGGAGGAGAAACTGAGCTTGAACAGAGTTTCATATTAAACTGTCTGACAGCAGCTCATTGGTCGAGCTGCTCCAGACTGCTGCGTTCTCATTGGTCCAGCAGCTCCACACTGGGGAATTCTCATTGGACGATCCGTATTGTTTTCTGTGAGGTAGGTGGGGCTTTCCAGCTGTCCATCAGAGGAACCGGGGATCCCGATTGGCTCTGCGGGAGCGAAAACGGATCTCAGAGAGTTTGGAGTTGATGCCGGAGCCGATGACTCCCTTCTTGGCGAGAGGAAACCGAGCCAAGATGGCGTCTGAGAAAGAGAGGGAGACTGTCAAAGAGATGGCAGATTAAAGGAACAGTCCGTCAATGTCTGAACCTACTGAAGATGGCGTTGATCCTGTGTGGGTCAAGTGCGCTTCGTTGTGGGTGGAAGGCGGGCCGGCGGCTCCGCCCACCTCTCAGGTTACTGTTCATCAGCGTGTCCATATCAAACACACCCAGTAGCAACATCCGAGCCATTGCTGTGGGTGACTGCGCCTGATTGGCTGCCTGCCAAGACCGCACATCACAGAGCACACCAGAGCCCGGATACACCTCCACCTGGCTCACCTGGACAGGACAGGTAAATGATACACCAATAAGTTGTTAGCGAGCTCTCACCCGATTAAACCAGTTCAGATAAATTTTAAACCAGATCATATTAAACCTGATTAAAACCAGATCTGATTCCAGTGTCATCCAGATCAGATCTAATGTAATCTAAATCAGATCTAGTGTAATCCAGATCAGATCCAGTGCAAACAAAATCTGATCTAATGTAATCCAGATCAGATTGATCTGGATCAAATCCACTGAATGTAAACAGGATCTGATTCTGTGTAATCTGGATCAGATCCAATGAAAACTGTACTGGATTCATTGCAGTGTAATCCAAATAAGATCCAATGTAAACAGGATCCGATTTATTGTAATCTTGATCAAATCCAGTGTAATCCAGATTAGATTCAATGTAAACAGGATCCGATTCTGTGTAATTTGGATCAAATCCACTGTAATCTGGAGAAGATCCCGTGTAATCCAGATCAGATGTAGTTTGATCTGTATCAAATCCAATGGACCAGATTTAGTGTAAACTGGATCAGATTCAGTGTAATCTGGATCAAACCCAGTGTAAAACAGATCAGATCCAATGAAAACAGGATCCGATTTAGTGTAATGTGGATCAAATCCAGTGTAATCCGGACCACTTCCAGTGCAATCTGGAGCAGATCCAGTGTAAACAGGATCAGATTCAGATCAATCTTGATCAAATCCAATGTAATCCAGATTAGATTCGGTGTAAACAGGATCTGATTCTGTTTAATCCGGATCAGATCCAATGAAAACTGGATTGGATTCAGATTCATCTTGATCAAATCCAGAGTAATCCGGATTAGATCCAATGTAAACAGGATCAGATACGGTGTAATCTGGATCACATCCAGTGTAATCCAGATCAGATCCAGTGTAATCTGGATGAGTTTCAGTGTAATCTTGATCAAATCCAGTGAAATTAGATTCAATTTTAACAGGATCCGATTCTGTGTAATCCAGATCAGATTCAATGAAAACTGGTCTGGATTCAGTGTAGACTGGATCAAATCCAGTGTAATCCAGATTAGATCCAATGTAAACAGGATCCGATTTAGTGTAATCCACATCAGATCCAGTGTAAAAAGGATCAGATCTTGTGTAATCTGGATCAGAGTTGTTCTCACCTGTCCGGTTACATCTCCGGCGGTACACTGGCTCTCAGAGCAGCTCCTCCTCAGCTCCTCCATGTCAGTCTGGCTGCAGAGCGGTGCCACCTCCCCCATGTGGCTCCCGAAGCCCAGGTCTGCTCCTCCTGGGACCTCGTCGTCCTCGGCGCCCAGCGGACCCCAGCACTCTGACAGGTCCCTACTCAGCTCATCCTGGAGCTGCTGAACCTGGACCTGAGGGCTAAAGTCTCCGTCCTGATTGGTCGCTGTGTGGGGGTGATAAAGCGCGTAACTGTCGCTCCCGCCTGTTGCCGTGGAGACGGAGTGGTGACTGTTGACCTGGCCCAACGTCTGCCACATGGTGGACAGGAGCCCAGGGATCTCTGGGAAATGTATTCACAATAAAATTCATGAAATTAAACCAGGACAGACAGGATGTAAAAGAAAATCTAACCTGTTCTCTGACGTCACGTTTGAAGCTGACTGGTCTCTGATTGGTCACCTGTGAACAGAATGACCAGGTGACAGTGATGTGGATCTGGACTCACCGTGGACCAGCATGTTTTTCAGTCTCTGGTTCTCAGCCGACAGCTCTGCCTTCTCTCTCTCCAGCTCTCGAACCCTCGAACGCAGGAAGTGAAGCTCAGCGATCTGTGACGGCGTCAGATCTGACGCACCTGACACACTCGTCACACCTGACTCCAATTTCACCACCTGCGGGACAGAGGAGGTTTTTCTTCATGAAAAGTTGTTGATAGAAAACTCTTCATAAAGACGTCAATCAAAATACAGAAATAAATCTGATACCTGAGCGCTGTCTCACACACAGAGAACATCACCTGTACACACCTGTAAACTCTCCTGTAAGCAGCTGTACATACCTGTAAACGCACCTGTAAGCTCATCTGTACACATTCATACACTCACCTGCACACACCTGTACCCTCACCAGTAAACTCACTTGTCACCTGTCAACACTCCTATACACACCTATAAACACATCTGTAAAGTAAGTCATCTGTAAACTCATCTGTTAACACCTGTGCACACCTGTAAATGCCCCTGTAAACTCACATGTACCTGACTGTACTGAGACACCATCATCTCACCTCAAAGCCTATCAGATTGTCTGACAGTGAGTGGAAAGGTGCAGCTGTTAGTACCGCCCACTTTGTCATTCAGCTGCTCCTCTGATTGGCTGTACTGCCACTCATGTTGTTCTGATGATCTGAGCGACATGTGTCTGAGATTAAAACAACACCTGATCCAGGTGTAACTGGAGTAAAAACCAGAGGACGAGTTACTTTAACTACATGTTTTCTGTTCACTTGTTTTATTTCTTCAACCTGTCAAATGTGACACATAAACAACGAAATAAACTCAGTGAGATTTAAAGCTCACTGTTCTTCATCTATGATGTTATGTGAGCTGCAGCGCCCCCCACAGGCCACAGTGTCAAACTGCACAAACTGGTATTAAAAGTGGGCCCACAGGTTGAGAACCACTGATCTAATGATACAATAGAAAACAGTAAAACAGTGAGTACTTTTACTTTTCATACTTGATTATACTCACAAACTGTTACTGCGGCAACATTTTAAATGCAGCACTTTAACATGCAATAGAGTATTTTTACTCTTGTAATTAGTACTTTTACTGCAGTAACGTTATCAGAGTACTTCGTCCACCTCTAATAGTACATGTTGTAACTGACTGTAACACACAAGACAGACTGAAGTGTCCCACTCATCATCATCATCATCATCATCATTCATCATCATTCATGTTGTTATGGTGCAGATAAACACTCCTCACGTGCTGATGATAATAATAATAATAATAATAATAATAATAATAATAATAAACATTCACGCTGGAGATGAACAGTAAACATCATATGTACAGTTATATATATGTTCCCTCGCTGCGGATACATGCAACATAAAACCCGGTTCCTCTCACCGCCGGGCCGGTCCCGGTTCCGCTGTGTGTCCGCTGCAGGACGCTGCTGTCCGGACTCTCCGTCATCTGGACACTCGAACCGGAGCCACTGCCGGGACTTTAATGTCCGAGTGGACCCGGGAATGTTCCGGTTCTTCAGCTGCGGCTCAGGACGGAAAAACACACACACACACACACACACAAAGAAAAAAAAAAACAAGTTTATTAAAATTCATGAAGACCTCCACTTCCGGTGCCGCTCCGTGACGTCATTCCTGCGTGACCGCGCTGTAGTTCCGTAGCGGTTGGTAACGGTTGGTAACGTTTGTGAGCGCGCGGCGGGACTACGCTACCCAGAGTGCACCGCGGCTCACAGACTGTAAACACACACGGAGAGTGAAGGACGAAGTGACGGATGATCGGTGAGTTCTGTTCCATTCTGAGGTTCTACTGAGGTTCTACTGAGGTTCTGTCAGTGTGAGCTCAGCTGGCAGAGAACCAGTCACATTACCTGTGTGACTCAGATCATTTACTGCAGTAAAAGTACAACAACTCTCAGATTTGTGTAGTTAAAGTATCAACAGTAAAAGTACTGAGACTAAAGTATGAATAACTAGAAGTCGCCTGACCCCTGACCTGTCACCTGACCCCTCACCTGTGTGTCCCCTCAGTGTATGTGCGGTACAACCTGGGCCCAGGTGTGGCTGTGGAGCTGCAGGAGGAGGAGAGCATAGCCAAGCTGAAGGAGGTGGTGGGGAGTCAGCAGGGAGTCCGACCGGAGGAGCTCAGGGTGTTGTTCGCTGGGAGGGAGCTGCAGAGCAACGCCACGCTACAGGTGAGGTCAGAGGTCAGGCTGCAGGTGAGGTCAGGGGGAATCTGACAGAAGGAGGAGGAGGAGGAGGAGGGAAGAGTGAAGAATAATGGGAGAAAGAGCTACTGGATGGAGGGTCTTACCTCCTGATCATAACTCCTCCTGTCATATTATCCTCTCCTCTCCTCTCTCCTCAGGGTTGTGACCTCCCGGAGCAGAGCACCGTCCATGTCGTCCTCCCTCCTTCAGGGTCCTCCTCCCGGCTGCTCCTCCTGCAGGAGCGTCTGTCTCGGGGCAGCGAGGAGGAGCGGGACACCCTGACCAGGCTGGACCTGAGCTCCTCGCGCCTCCCCTCCACCTCCACTGGGCTGGCCGTGATCCTGGAAGGGAGTGAGAGAGAGGGAGGAGGTGACGGGGGAGCAGAGGAGGCGCAGGCTGCAGGTCTGAGAGGTCAGTGTGTCAGTACTCCTGCAGTGTGTCAGAAGTAGTACTCTGCAGTACTCTGACTGTGTGTGCTTGTGTGTATTTCTGTGTACAGGTGTGCGTACCTGCAGTACTTTCTTTGTGTACTGTAAAAGCTGCAGCTCGGTCGAACCAGGAAAACTGAGAGTTCGCTGCAGATGCTGCAAACAGACGACGCTGACGCTCAGCAGGGTGAGAACTGATACTGAGTTACTGTGTTTATGTTTAACTGTAGATCATGTCAGACACGATGATCCTCCTGTCGCCTCACCCAGCTGTAATGACTGTGTGTGGCCACAGGGGGCGCGGTGCAGCAGCTGTAACCAACCTCAGGTGTTTTAGGATTTGTTTGTAGTAACAGCAGTATTTACTAGTAATAGTTGTATTAATTAGTAATAGTTGTATTTATTAGTAACAGTAGATGATGGTGATGATGAAGGTGAGAGTGCTCTGTCTGCGTCTCAGGGCCCGTCCTGTTGGGATGACGTCCTCCTCCCAGGTCGTATCCACGGCGTATGTCAATCAGATGGTTGTCACGGCAATGAAGCGGTAAGGGGTTAATTGATTAATTGGTTGGAGTTTCAAGCTCTTTTAATGATCAAATAATCGTGTGTGTGCGTGTGTGTGCGTGTGTGTGCGTGTGTGTGTGTGTGTGTGCAGGAGTTCTTCATGAAGTGTGCGTCTCACCCGACCTCAGATGACGACCTCTCTGTGGCCCTCGACCTCATCATGACCAACACCAGAGACGTGCCCTGCATCGCCTGCACCGACGTCATGTAACACACACACACACACACACACACACACACACACACACACACACACACACACACACACACACACACACACACACAGAGGACCAGATTTCAGTCCTGATCCAACAGGATCTCAACACTTCAGATCTACCTGTCTTTGATTCTGGTCTCAGGGACGTGGTCCTGGTCTTCCAGTGCTCGGAGCGTCATGTGATCTGTCTGGACTGTTTCCGTCGGTTCTGTCAGACTCGACTGAACGAGCGACAGTTTGTTCACGACGCCGTGGTCGGATACTCTCTGCCCTGCGCCGGTGAGACAGAAACAGTCCACTCCCTGTCTTCCCTGACTCCGTGTCCTGGTTTTACCCTCATCACACACAGGCAGCAAGTTACTGTGACTCATCAGAGTTAATTAGCTGTGTGTGTGTGTGTGTGTGTGTGTGTGTGTGTGTGTGTGTGTGTGTGTGTGTCTGTGTCTGTGTCTGCAGTCGGTTGTGTGGACTCTCTGATTAAGGAGCTCCATCATTTCCGGGTCCTGGGCGACGAGCAGGTGAGTGTCTCTGTCTCATTGTTTATTTTACACACCTTTTACCCAGAATGCCCCCTGACACACCCTGGGCTCTCTCTCTCTCAGTACGATCGCTACCTGCAGTACGGGGCCGAGGAGTGCCTGTTGAGGATTGGAGGACTGATGTGTCCGTCACCTGGCTGTGGGGCGGGGCTTCTCCCTCCTGACGGCAGCAGGAGGGTGGAGTGTGAACGACAGGTGGGCTGCGGCTTCGTCTTCTGCAGAGATTGCAGGGAGGGCTACCACGAGGGGGTGTGTCAGACGCAGCCTGTCCCGCCTGCAAGCGAAGCCTCACAGGTAAGCCGACCAATCACAGAGCTCCCGGTTTGTCTGTACAAACAGAATCAAGACTCAGAGCAGTGAGAAATAAACTAATGAGAAGAGACAGATACAGCTCATTTCAGGGGGCTGGGGTCAGAGGTCACAAAACTTTGTGTAAAACTTTATAGATATAAACACAGGAAACAGCCAAACATTTAATACTTCTTTAATGTAAAGAAGAGATGATGAGGATGAGGATGAGTCTCTGCTGCCCCCTGCTGGACAGATCAGGACATCGCAGGACAAAATATGTCACTAAATCCTCTCCTCCTCTCCTCTCCTTCACTCCTCTCCTCCGTTACTCTCTCCTGTCCTCTCTCCTCTCCTTCTCTCCCCTTTTAGGGTTTTGTGGTGGGGGAGGAGGCGTCTCTCAGAGGGAGGTGGGATCAAGCGTCTCAGCTCCTGATCCAGGAGTCGACTAAACGCTGCCCTCAGTGTTCAGTTCCTGTGGAGAGAAACGGTAAATCACCCCGACAGCAGAGGGTCTGATGAACCGGTTTAGGGTCTGGGTCTGTGATTAATGAGTGTTGTTGTTGTTGTTGATGATGATGATGATGTTGTTGTTGTTGTTGTCGCCCCCTGCAGGCGGCTGTATGCACATGCAGTGTCCTCTGTGCAGAGCAGAGTGGTGCTGGCTCTGTGGAGTCTCCTGGAACAGGGAGTGTATGGGAAACCACTGGTTCGGATAAACACACAGACGCAGAGATGTCAGCACAAGATGTTCAGGGGGCT